GTGGAGGTGTGTGAACTTTTGATTGGTCGTTGCCACCGGGGCTGTGTACCTGATTTGATTTACGGCCTATGCCTGTTTTGGAGCTTCCTGCAGCCTTTGCTTCCCCCCTCTCCTCCGTGTCTTCTTTCTTCCTCAGTCCTTTACATTTCTGACTTTTACCACTACCATCACTATTTAAAAGCAAAGCAAAGAAAATAAAAGTAATCATTAAGAGTAATCATAGCTGCTCTCTCACATCCATGTACACCACCTTCCTCCTCTTCCTACTTCTTATAAAACCATACTTACTTAACTTTCAAATAAAAACAATAATAGAATCATACTTTTCTAATTCAATGAAAATATGCCAACCCTTTACCCAAATGAGGATAAAGTCTCTTATTTATCTTTAAATGTTTTCCTTTTCTAGCTGAGTCACATACATGTTGCACTTGATGTCCTGTAATTTAAATACTGAGGTAAAAATGTTTACTAATGAACACATGTTAACTTGTAGGGAGATGAAATAGAGAAGAGAAATACCATGGTTAATACATACCCAAGGGTATTCTGCTCAAAACAAAGAAAAAATATCTCTACGTATTACAGTCCTCATTTCTGCAACTGGCACTGGCCGTACTTGGTATTTATTTTTCTCTGCTCTTTCTACTACTGGTCACTGGAGAAAGCAATATGTTCCCTTTTCCCCCTCACTTATTTTTGTATTTGTATTCACAGAGTACAATTGCAATTTTGCCACAGTGCTATGTTGCCTTGTGGTGAAGTTACAGCCTTCAGTGCATCTAACACGGGAGAAATGCACATTGTACCCACCAGGCTACCACCATTTAACTGAGTCAGACTAATCTGGTTTAATTTTTTTTTTTTTTTTTTGAGATAAGAGTCTCAAGCTGTCACCCTGGGTAGAGTGCCGTGGTGTCACAGCTCACGGCAACCTCAAACTCTTGGGCTAAAGTAATTCTCTTGCCTCAGCCTCCCAGGTAACTGGGACTATAGGTGCCCACCACAATGCCGGGCTATTTTTGTTGTCGTTGCAGTTGTCTTTGTTGTTTTAGCTTGGCTGGGCTGGGTTTAAACCCACCAGCCTCAGTGTATGTGGCCGGCCCCCTACCCACTGAGCTATAGGCGCTGCTTTTTTTTTTTTTTTTTTGGAGAAAGAGAGAAAGTCTCACTCATCAGTCTTAAATTCCTGGCTTGAAGCCATCCTCCTGCCATAGCCTCCTTCAGTAGCTAGGATTATAGATGTGTGCCACAATGCTTGGCCAGTTTCTTCTATTTTTGTTCGAGATGGGTTTTGCTCTTGCTCAGGCTGGTTGCAAACTCCTCTAAGCTCAAGCCATCCTCTTGCTATGACACCCAGCTAATTTTCTATTTTTTGTAGAGACAGGGTCTTACTCTTGTTCAGGCTGGTTTCCAACTCCTGAGCTCAAGCAATCTTCCCACCTCAGCCTCCTAAGAGTGCTAGGATTACAGGCCTGACCCACAGCACTTGGTTTTACTTTTATATAAAGCAGTTGTAAGGTTTTTTTTTTTTTTTAGCTGCCATGGATGCCCAGATTTAAGATCACATAACCTCAACATATCTGGATGAATCAAGCATGCAATACAGGCAGAACCTAAGAGCTCAGACTGAGGGGGCAGGAACTGAATCAAGAAGTAGACACTTTCTGGTAGATCCAGGATCCAATCAGATGAGCCTTGGTATTACTCCATGGTGAGATCCCATCAGATCATGCCTCCTTACCTTTTGACTATAAAACCTGCCCCAACCCCCTAGCTTTTAGGAGACTCATTTGAGTCCTACTCATGTCTCTTGTTTAGGCTTCCAAAGTGTTAACCTTTCTCACTGCAAAGACCCGGTGCTTCAGCATTTGGCTTTACTTGTCACGAATACAAATGAGCCCAAATCCCACAGAAGCGCCATTGTCCATCATTCCACACTTCTGCTCCTGTATGTACACATTATTTAGCTCCTACTTATAAATGGAAACATCAGTACTTGTTTTTCTATGTCTGAATTATTTCACTTAAGATAATAGCTTCCAGTTCAGTTTATGTTGCTGCAAAAGACGTGATTTTATTCTTTTTTAATGGCTGAATAGCATTCCATTGTGTGTGTGTATATATATTTATGTATATTTATTTACCACATTTTCTTTAGCCCTCCATTGATGGACACAGGTTGATTCCATATCTTTGCTATTGTAAACAATGTTGCAGTAAATATACTAGTCGAGGTACTTATTTGTATATATCAGTTTCTTTCTTTTGGTTAGATGCCCAGTAGTGGGTTTACTGGATCATATGACAGTCATTCTACTATTTTTTTTTACACCAAAAATTCAGACTCTGTGCTGAATGTTGTGGACGAACATTTTGTATGTCCGTCCTCACTGCAGACTAGAGATTCATTTTCAGAGGGCACTAGAAATATGTGAGTGAAGGCAGGCATCCTGCACTGAAATGACAAAGTTGAAGTGACATCATTAGCTTCATATGTGCAGTGGTTACATGAATTATTACCTATTTTTTGAGAGAGAGTGCCTCACTCTGTTGACCCAGGCTAGGGTGCCATTCTGTCAGCCTAGCTCACAGCAACTTCAAACTTCTGGGCTCAAGTTAATCTTCCTGCCTCAGTCTTCCTTGTAGCTGGGACTACAGGTGCCCACCAAAATTCTTGGCTCATTTTTCTATTTTTAGTAGAGACAGGGTCTCTCTCAGGCTGGTCTTGAACTTTTGAGCTGAAGCAATCCTACCGCCTCAGCCTCCAAGAATGCTGGGATTGTAGGTGTGAGCCACTTTGCCCAGCCTTGAACTACTTTCATTGAAAATCTATTGACTAGGGAGAAGGAGCGAAGATGGCGGAGTGAGGCGTGCGGCTGGTGACTGGCCTCTGGGCCCGGGGCGGGCCGGCCCCTAGGAGGCCGAGTGCGTCTGTCCGGCCGTGCGAGGTTCCTTATCACAGGAAGAACATTTTCCTTGACCTTTAGGTGCTTTCGTATTCATCTCAAAAACAAAATGCTAAACTCAGGACTTGGAAAGTATCTCTGTGTTGTCTCTTATAGCGGGCAATCTGACTTCTTTTATCCAGCCACTTTCCCTGTTCTTGAAATGTGGATATCTCTTCTCTACACATTACCTCCACGATTTGGAATGGAAAAGACCAGGTTTTTTGTTCCACCTCTCAGATTCTACACAGAGAAGCCCCTAAAACGTGTTTATCCTGCCTACTTCTCCGGGAAGAGAGAAGCAACTGACATGGGTCTTCTGCTGCTGCTTGCTTAATTGTAAAGAAATTATTTTGGAAGCTAAAGGCTAATGTTTCATTTGAAACAGGTGCTTAGATGGTGGTATTTGTGAATATTTTATTATTTGTTCCAAATGAGAAGACGAAGTAAATAGCAAGTATGGATGACTTCAGGGTTTTTTAAATGTCTTCCAGTTTCAGCCACTATCATGATAAGAAGTTGAGACTGCAGAATAAATTCCAAATATGCATTCTAATTTGAAATGAAAGACGCTAAAAAGTTACATAATGATATACCTAATCCTGGCTCATCCTAAAACTGATTACAAGAGTAAACAAAGATACTGTTTTACAATTAAAGCTTCGATGTGATAAAAGCAGCATAGAAACCAACTATCAATTTCTTATGCAAACATACCTTCACAGTGTCTGTGCAAGTACAGTTTTACATGTGTAAATCCCCATTTTTGGATCAGAAGAGGGATTTTTCTCCAAGACAAAGAAGGTGTCTTCTCAAAAGGCTTTGGACATTTGATTTCTAAAAATGTTTTTTATTCTAAGGAAGTACCAGATTGTGCAGCAGTTAACCTGTGAGTGCATGCTTGGGTTTAGTGAAAGGATAGTAAAACAGTTTTGAGTCTAGTGATGGACCTTTTCTCCTTCCTCAGAAGAGAGGCTGCTTCAATTGCTTCATTCTTTTTTGTGGAATCTTATATAGCATTTTAGACTTTGTTTTCCACATTGCTAAGACTGGAAGAAAAGTGGCAGTAAGTGGTTTTTCAGTTCAGAAGATGTGAGAAGACCAGTAGTATGGCCTGTCTTCAACTTTGGACATAGAGGAATGGGGAGAAGGAGGAAAAATGAGAGAATTTTCCATTTGATTCCTTCTTAGAGGCAAAAATCCCTAATGTGGCTCCCTCTGACTTTACGGTGTATTCTATAGCCCCATTTTTTATAAAAGCATAAATAACTCTTTTCCTTAGGCCCAGGATGGATACTTGGATGTTTGACTTATTTTAGGTGATAGGGGTAATATTATATTGAAAAGGCTGGGACTCAGGTACTTTCCTTAGTTGGGACTGAATTTTCTCATCAAAGAAGGGGCCTCAGAAGCAATGTTCCCAAATTTGTGGTTGGGCCATTGTAGATTCAGGGTGTGGAAAAGAAACCTCAAACAAGAAAAATAGTT